CACGACAATAAAGAATACGGTTGTTTTGGCAATTGTAAGCGATTATAAGCACATTAAGATGGCGGACGATAAGTTTATCTGTATTCTTGGGCAAATATTGACATGTGCAGAATTATTATTCTATGAGGAAGAACATGAAAATTCATATAACAAGGAATTCGAAAATGTTATAATGTTTCTAAGCAAACCTTCTATTAAAAGGCCCATAAAACGACTGCAAGGATATGTAGAAAACGTCATACCATGTTATAATGATGAACAATTTAAATCACATTTCAGGCTTGTGCAATCCCTAAAAACGCTGCTAAGCTGAACAATATTTATGAAAAATATTTATGCATATTTATAATATATTTAAATTAAAATGGTTAATAATTTTTGCGTTTGATTCCTAAAATAATAAACCTATTTTTTTAGAATGAAACGAGCAACATTTAATTACATTTTACAAATTATAAAACCTACATTATTAAGATCAAGATCTGGACGTAAAACAATATCACCTGAAAAACAATTTTTTATCGCTATATGGAAAATGGCTACTCCAGATTCATATCGGTATGTTATTAATATTATCATTACATTATTCTTTTAATTTTAATTTATCCTTGTGTGTGCATATAGTTTTTCGTTGCTTAATATTTAATATTTAAATTATATACAGATCCATTTGTGAGAAATTTAATGTTGCAAGAGCCACTGCGTTAAATGCTGTAAGAAAAGTGACAAAAGCATTAGTTAAATTAGCTCCTCGTTTTATTACATGGCCGGAAGGTCATAGAGCAGAAGAAATTATGAGGGGATTTGCTGCAACTAGCGCTTTTCCTAGAGTAATAGGAGCAATCGACGGCACACATATAAATATAAAAGTACCACATGTCAATCCTGAATGTTACGTTAATAGAAAAAATCATCATAGTATACATTTACAGGTAATTCATGTTATTATAATGACATTTTTATATAATATAATTATTTAAGTAATTACAATTTTTTATGTATTTTTAACAGGCTGTTAGTGATCATACGGGCCAATTTATTCACTGTCTTGCTGGACATGTTGGTTCTGTACATGACCAAAGAGTGTTTCGTTTATCTGAAATTAATAATTACTTAGAAGACGCAGAAAAATTTCCTAATGATAGCCATATATTGGGCGATGCAGCATACACAATACATGAACACTTAATGACACCATTTCGTGATAACGGACATCTCACAGTTAGACAAAAGAATTATAATTTTTGCCATTCATCTGCCAGAATTTCGATTGAACGAGCATTCGGATTGTTAAAAGGAAGATTTCGAAGTTTGCTATCACTTCTTGATATGGAACGGGTCGACTTAATTCCAGAGTTTATTATTTTATGTTGTGTTCTGCACAATATCTGTTTCCTGCAAAATGATGACTTCCCTATTATAGAACCAGATATTTTAGAAGCTGACAATAATAAACAATTAATTTATCAAAGAAGAAGTAACAATGCAGGCTACATAAAACGAGATCTAATTTGTGATAATTTAATAATACGAAATGCGTAAAGTGTACAATATTACTAATAAAACATTTATACTTTATATATAAACTTTATTATACTTTATAACGAATAAAGCATAGTACAAAAATAACGTTTGTATAAAATATATGTATATCTCTATATATATATATATCTAGATATCTAAATATTTGCATATCTTATGATATGGGTAACACAACATAACTTCTTTTACGGAAATACACATACTTTATAAAATAAAAGACTAAGCTCACATTTCACATCCTAAATGGATTTTAATAATAACGAAAATATTTGCACTTGTGAATGTCAATTATTTAAAAAAAAAAAATTATTAATTAAAAAAAGAAAAACAAATAATCATCTGATTTAAAATACATATAACCAAAAATTACTTTTTACTTAAAATATCTACTATTTTTTCAAAAGAATCGAGAAGTCTCTTGCGCATTTATATATATTTTCTTCATGGCTTCTTCTCCCATCTTCCTATTTTCTTTTAAATCTTTTATTAAATGTTTCTAGATTATATAATTGCCGAAATTTCTCTAAATAAAACAAATTATTGAGCGTGTAACAACATTGTATATTGTTTAGTATTATAATGATATTAGTGCGTTCATTTCATTTTCTTATTTTAATATTCCCGCGTATCCGCGCGGCGCCTTGCGGCAGACGGCGAAGTTCCGTTCGCGCTCACTTTTTATCACAAGTCGTAGTCGATTTCATGTGTCAAGACAACGTGTATTCTGCGTGCGTTGTAAAACTGAAGAAAATAAATTATTTAAACAAGAGAGAGCAGCAGTCTTTTCTCGACCATACCGCTTGCGACGCAGCATTTCCGTGAGCACGTGTGGAAGCGTGAATCGTTCACGCAACAATACAAAACAAAAAATTGGTCCTTCGAGCCGGATGGTTACGGCCATCCGTCTTCTTCGGCAAGGGTGATTGAGATCTCGCGGTCAAGCGAGCTATTTCTTGACACTCGACACACAAAGAGACTTCCTGGACTCACTTCAAGCTTGCACATTGGGCGGTGGGCTATCCGGGAGCCTGCATAACCTCAACGCACGTGGACAGCAGAAGGATTCTTTCCCCCTCTCTACATAAGGATCGTCCGAACCAGTGGACGCTTCTGACCCACGATCGAGGATTCAGCAACGAGGATCGACGTCAGCATCGAGAACGTCGACCTAGCAAGGAACTATTCTCCATTCGTATCGGTAAGGGCAACCGTGGTAGTGCCAATTCGAGTCCCGCATACTGCGAAATTGTGCGCGTTGCGCACAATTAATATTATTATTAATATTATTTACCGCGTGATCGCGCGCCTTGCATTACTAAGGACAATTTAAGATGGAAACCGATTTAGATCTCGTCGCGCTCAAAAAACGACGTAAGATCATCAAGGGTTCATGCACGCGTATTAAGACATACGTGGACACAATCGCTACTATAACCCCGTCCGTCATAGCTCAGCTCAAGGAACGCAGATGTAAATTGAATGACTATTGGTCGGAATATGGTGATATTCAATCTCAAATCGAATTACTCGATGAAAATGAGACGAATGATCGCGCTCTGTTTGAGGAATCGTACTATGCACTCTCAGCGAAAATTCGCGAATTTCTCAATCCCATCACGCACATACGCGCGACTACCGCTTCTCCGTCTACGTCGCGCGCTTCAAATCAGATGAACACACAAATAAACATTCGTTTACCCAAGCTAAACTTGCCGACATTTTCCGGGAAATATCATGAATGGTTCCCATTTTTCGATTCTTTTAATTCAGTCATACATTTAAATGCGTCAATTAGCAGCGTACAAAAGCTGCAATACCTAAAGGCTTCTTTGACCGGTGATGCAAGTAACGTGATAAGTTCACTAGAAATTTCGGATTTAAATTATGAAGTTGCATGGAACCTTTTAAGAGAACGGTATGACAATAAGCGAGTCATCGTACGTACCCATATTAAAACAATTATGGAACTGCCATCGATGTCTAAGGAAAACTCGACTGAGCTACGACAAATCGCAGACGGGGCTGTTAGGCACATACAAGCTCTTCAAGCTCTTAAGCGTCCCACCGCGCATTGGGACGACTTACTCGTGTACATTTTGAGCTCAAAGTTGGACGCAACCACATTGCGAGAATGGCAGTCTTCGTTAGTAGGCACCGACCCGCCCACGTTTAAGCAATTTAGCGACTTTATTACTTATCGATGCCAAATGCTTGAAGCTACAGGCAGCGCCGTCGATGCTTTATCCAAGGGGGGTAACAAGCGATTCCAAGCTAATGCGAAGCGTCAAACAGCGTGCGTTGCAACAATTAATCCTAAATGTAACTTTTGCAATGGCGAACATGCTATATACTATTGTAAAAATTTTCTAGCATTATCCGTTCCGCAACGAATTATAGAAGTACGCAATCGAAGGATTTGCATCAATTGTCTGCGTTCACCTTCTCACTCGGCTAACAAATGCCCTTCAAGAGGATGCAAGCTATGCAAGATCAAACACAATACGTTGCTGCATCAAACGGAGAGCACCACGGAGACAATCAACAAGGAGACTAACATTCATGACGATTCGGTTGCTACGAAACCCTCAACAACGCTAGTAGCCTGCGCTTCCAACAATAATTCTGCAGAACACGTGATGCTCTCCACGGCCGTGGTTAACGCGTTCCACAAGGACGGATCTGCAGTATCCTGTCGAGCATTACTGGATTGCGGCTCGCAGGCTAATTTTATTTCGCGAGACTTAGTGAAGGCCTTGGGATTGTCTACGCACCCGCTGAACGTGTCAATCTCTGATATCAACAGGTCAGCTTCGAGCTCAACGCAAGCAACCAGGGTGAAACTACAATCACGCCTAAACACATACACAATCGAGATCGAATGCATCATCACCGATCAGATTACGGGCAATCTTCCGACGTTCACAATAAGGCGTGACGTTTACAAAATTCCTCGCAACTTGAACCTTGCCGATCCACAATTTAACGTCTCGTCGAGAATTGACATTCTCATCGGCGTCGAAAAATTCTGGGATCTATTATGTGTGGGACAAATTGAGCATTCGCCAGAGCACCCCACTCTTCAGAAGACGCACTTTGGATGGATATTGGCGGGGCGCCTGTGCAATTCGGTAGGATTGGTTCGAAAGGTTCATTCAATGCACGCAACCGTTACCAACAGCCAGTTACATCATCAATTGTCTCGCTTCTGGCAAATAGAAGACGTTAACACCGCGTGTAAATACACTGCTGAGGAACTCAATTGTGAGAAGCATTTTTTGGAAAACGTCTCTCAAAACCATGAGGGGAGATATATCGTTAAGCTGCCAATCAAACAAACCACGATGGTTGATTTAGGAAATTCAAGAGAAATTACAATCAAACGCCTACAGGCTTTGGAAAGGCGCCTTTCTCGCGACCCAAACCTCAAAACACAATACACCAATTTCATCTCAGAATACCTAAATTTGGGGCATATGAAACGCGTGGACATAGCTCTGGACGAGGATACACCAGTGTATTACTTGCCACATCACTGCGTATTTAAAGGCACAAGACAAGCTTCTAAAATCCGCGTCGTCTTCGATGCGTCTTGCAAATCCAGCTCTGGCGTTTCCCTAAATGACGCTCTCAGGGTCGGACCGACTGTACAACAAGATTTAATGTCCATTGTCATGCGATTCCGCACCTTCGTCTACGTTCTAGTCGCTGACATAGTGAAAATGTACCGACAAGTCTTGGTACACCCTTCCCAAACACACCTGCAGAAAATATTGTGGCGTGATCAACCATCGTCGGATATCGAAACTTACGAACTAATTACGCTCACTTACGGGACGTCTTCAGCATCTTATTTGGCAACTCGATGCCTCAATCATTTGGCTGAGTTACACGCATTGGATTATCCGATTGGATCTGTCCGCGTGCATCGAGATTTTTATGTTGACGATCTTCTTACGGGAGCCAATACCATTGAAGAAACGGAGACCGCGCGGGACGAAATAATAAAGATATTGAGCCTGGGGTCCTTCCAGCTCAGCAAATGGGCCTCAAATTGTTTGCAACTACTGGGATCAATAAACGGTCGAGAAGATCCACTAATTCCAATAAGTGACGGGAATGAATCTTATGTCCTCGGATTGCGATGGGATCAAACTAACGACACATTCCATTTTCCGTACGGATCCAAAGCAAATCACGGAACGATAACCAAGCGTGTCATACTGTCCGAGATATCCAAGTTGTTTGACCCCTTGGGGCTTCTAGGACCAGTCATAGTCGTCGCGAAACTGATTCTTCAGGATCTTTGGAAATCAGATGCACATTGGGATGAGTCCGTTCCGCAAGCAATATACACCCGGTGGTCAACGCTCAAATCACAATTGTTGGAGTTAAATCAGTTAAAACAGTGCCAAGACAAATTAAGTTTGGAAGCAGTCAGCGTGACGTGCAGATCCACGGGTTCTGTGACGCCAGTCAGAACGCATACGGGGCTTGCGTGTACATTCGCTCAAGGCTTAAACCCGACGAGTATCGATCTGAGCTATTGTGTTCAAAGTCAAGGATTGCACCTTTGAAGGCTGTTTCGTTACCACGCTTGGAGTTGTGCGCGGCGCTACTCTTAGCTCGTTTAGTTGAAAAAATCCAATCAGCAATAAACACAACAGATGTTCAAACCTATTTATGGTCGGATTCGACAATAACTTTAAATTGGATATCATCGCCATCTCGCAAGTGGTCTGTCTTTGTGGCCAATCGAGTGGGCGAGATTCAAAGATTGACTAAGGCACAACAGTGGCATCACATATCAACCACCCTCAATTCTGCCGACTTGCTATCGAGAGGCCTCAACCCACGAGAACTAATCAACAATGATTCCTGGTGGCACGGACCGCGATTCCTATGCTACAGCGAAGATCGCTGGCCCAGCTGCGAGGTTCCTTGCCTTGGAGACAACGCACCAGAGCTCTGAAAAGTCTGCGTTGCTGTCGCTGTCTTTGAAATTAATGTCATAGAAGAGATGTTGTCTAGGCATTCTGACTTAAACAAAATTTGTAGAATCGTTGCATACTGCTTAAGGATATTCAAGAAACGTCCAAGACCGCCCACGTTATTCATCTCTCATGAAGAGTCCGACGCAGCACTGAATCAGATATGCAAAATGATACAACAGCAACATTTCTCTTCCAAATACAAGGCACTAGTAAAACATGACGTCATTTCCTCTACTAGCAAGATTCTCTCTTTAACGCCCTTTCTCGACGAGACTGGACTACTGAGAGTGGGAGGCAGATTGAGGAATTCGGATTTAACTTTCAACTCGCGTCATCCGATACTTCTCCCGGCCAATCACGAGTTAACGAAAAAGATTATAATGCGAGAACACGTGCGAAACATGCACGCCGGAACACAGGCCACCATGGCCGCCATCAGACAACAGTTCTGGCCCCTGTCCTTAAGGTCAACTACGCGAAAAATCATCCTACATTGCGTGAAATGTTTCAGGGTTAAGCCGGCATTTTCCGAAGCCACGATGGGATCTTTACCCACCGGTCGCGTTACAGTGTCTCGGCCATTCTCGCACTGTGGGGTAGATTACGCGGGTCCGATAATTTTGCGCGAGAGCAAAAGACGAAACGCACGAAATCACAAGGCATACGTTGCCATATTCGTTTGCTTTGCGGTCAAGGCTGTACACATAGAGTTGGTGAGCGATTTGACGTCCGATGCCTTTATAGCGGCACTCAAGCGCTTCATTTCTCGCAGAGGAAAGCCTTCTCACTTGTACTCGGACAACGGAACTAATTTTGTTGGCGCGCATAATCAGCTTAAGGAGTTTTTCGACAGCTTGAGCAAGGATGAAACACAGGAGGAGGTGAAGCATTTTTTGCGTACACAACACACATCTTGGAACTTTATACCTCCCAATGCTCCCCATTTTGGAGGTTTATGGGAGGCGGCAGTCAAATCCGCAAAATACCATATGAATCGGATCATCGGTAAAGCTCATTTAATTTTGAAGAGCTACAAACAATACTGTGTGAGATAGAGGCTGTGTTAAACTCGCGCCCTATCACTGCGTTAAGCTCGGATCCAAATGATCTGTCATTTCTAAGCCCGGGTCATTTTTTAATTGGCACTACCATGAACGGTTTCCCTTGTTACGACTTACGCGACATCAATGAGAACCGTCTTGTGCGATGGCAGCGGGTAGAACAGTTAAGACAACATTTCTGGCAGCGATGGAGTGGCGAATATCTTCATTCCTTGCAGACTCGATCAAAATGGAAGGCCGACAAGGGTGTTCAGTTGGAAACCGGTCAGCTAGTGCTCATAAGGCAGCAGGATTTGGCTCCATTACACTGGTTGTTAGGACGAGTGCATGAAATACATGCGGGGGCCGACGGTGTCGTGAGAAGCGCCACCGTGAGAACAGCCAAGGGTTTTCTTACCAGGCCGCTGACCAAGCTGGCTATTCTCCCGGTGAGACATCTGACGTCAGATGCTGATACCTTATATTATTAGTGTGATATCTTATTTGCGTAAGAGACCTTCTTTGATTTGTTCATTTCAATGTATAACCTCGGATCAATGTTCGCGTCTACCAAAGATTTTAGTTATAAGACTGAAGACGTGCAATATTTTTATTTTATTTAATTTTGAAGGCAGATCCTTCAAAGGAGGGTGGCGTGTTTAGTATTATAATGATATTAGTGCATTCATTTCATTTTCTTATTTTAATATTCCCGCGTATCCGCGCGGCGCCTTGCGGCAGACGGCGAAGTTCCGTTCGCGCTCACTTTTTATCACAAGTCGTAGTCGATTTCATGTGTCAAGACAACGTGTATTCTGCGTGCGTTGTAAAACCGAAGAAAATAAATTATTTAAACAAGAGAGAGCAGCAGTCTTTTCTCGACCATACCGCTTGCGACGCAGCATTTCCGTGAGCACGTGTGGAAGCGTAAATCGTTCACGCAACAATACAAAACATATATTAACATTGTACATATAACTAATATTTTCGATTCTGTATTTAGAATAAAGGTATTAACTTACTACGTGTTGACTTTTCTTCAGTCTCCAAACAACTGTCAATACTAGATGTACTGCATTCTGATGGTGATTGAGATCCTTTCCCTGTTGAGGATATAGTACTTACCGGTGACATAAATGGCTTCGAGCCTAATAAATTCTCCATATGCTGAAAAAAGACTGTTATTAGCAAATTAAATATCAGTTGTTTCTAAAATAATTACTTACAGATAAAAATGGCCATTTTCTTGTTCCATTGCCGGACTTATTATTATGGTCTTTGACAGTTTTGTATGTTCGTTTTAATCCAGAAAACTTTAACAAACACTGTGGTCCTGTTACATTGTAACCATGTTTCACTAATTCGGTTGCAATTAAGGACCATACTTTTTTTTGCGACATTTTTCCAGAACTTAAATCGTTCTGTTTCAAATTATATTCTTTTATTAATAGAAGAATTGCCTAATGAGGCCATTTGAAAACTGTAAAAATAAATATGTTTAAAGAAATATCTGAAATTATATACTAAATTACATATTATTTAGAAAAATTATTAAAAGTGCCTCCAATTTCTTCATTTATATTCTGATGTATCCCCTCTTTCTGAGATATCTCCTCTCCTTGTAATATCTCTTCATAGTTGTCAATAATGTTATTGTTTTCTAAATAAAAATAATTATAAAAAATTTATTACAATATTTTCTTTAAAGAAAATCCATCCCACTTGTTATATTTACCACGTTTCTTTTTTATTTCATTTAATTTTAATGTTGCGAAAGCAAGATCTGAAAATAAAAAAAATAACTATAATTGTATAATAATGATAAAATAGGAATTAGGGGAAAAAAAATGATTCATAACCTTCAAATATTTTACAATAATGACTTTGAAAATATTAATAAACTTACCAGTTTCTAAGCGCATTGCTTCTTCCGGTGTTACATTTATTGTGTACACGCGATCGGTTTCTGCATCTTTTAAATATATTTGTGTAAATTCTGTTCTATTGAAAGCCATCTTTTCATGTGTTTCGCTACAATTGCGTTCCGAAATAAACATAAGCGTTTACCAGCGCTTACGCTTACTCGCGCTCACGCTGCCCTACCTCGTAGAAATAAGCGTTTGTAAGCAGAAATTATGACGTCACGATGACGTCATTAGTCGATTTGTGAGCGCTAACCACAGATGTCTATACTAGTACTAGATCGCTAATTTTAGGCTTTGACGTATGGAAAAACTGAGGTTGGCAGAATTTCCGGTTTCGGCCATGACACCCTACAACAAAATGGCCGCTCCCGCTATTGCATGAAATGTACTAAAATATTTTTATTTTGTATTTTTTTTCATTTTCAATAAAATAACATTTTTTAATTCTAATATTTTAAAAAATATTTATAACATTTATAAAATAATAAAACGTATGCTATGGACGCATAAAATAATAATAAAACATTAATATTATAGTAAAAAATACATTTTATTAAAAGAATTGCAAAAAACACATTACTATATTTATTAAAGTAAAATTTATGTATTATTAAAAAGTATTAATTTTGATAATTTTTGCCGTTTACTGACGGGATTTATTACATCTTTAGTTAATATCCTAGAATATGAATACATTCGAATTATTAAATATTTGCGACAAATCATATTTATTAACTGCAGACGATGCGGCGTATCTATACCTATGTATCTCGAATCCTTCGTAGCAATCGTTACTGTTAGAAAATAAATCAGTATCCAACGCATATCTGCGTATTACTCGATAAATTATTTGAGAAAACGCATTTTTATTTGGTAACTTATTTTCACGATCTTTTAACGACCGACGGAAAGACTTTTAAAGACCACTTGCATTAGGTCTTTCCATAAAATCTGTATCTGTGAAATGAGCACTACAGATTAAATGATATTTTGTGGGTTCAAAACCGTCTCTTCCAATGGCATTCATCCACATTTTTAAAATGTCTGGACGATTCAATGGAAATCTGAAATATTTTGTAACATGGGTTAAACCCATGTTACTATTCGCGCGATCGGTTGCAACGATCGTCCGCGCATCGAGCCGCCGGCCGCAACACGTCATCGGAATGCGGCCGCCGAGTGGGGCGAGCGGGTATATAAGGCCGTCGCTCCGGCCAGCAATGCTGCCAGAAACGAGCGGCGGCATCACACCAATACAACCGAGAACCGATGACGTCACCCTATCCGTGTGAGCTCGACCCGGTCGACCAATGGAAGAGAACGCCGTCTCCCTTCCACCGAGCCGACGCAACAGACGATAAATGCTAAGAAGTAAGTGTTTCTAAGGGTGCGTTCCACTTAACGCCCGCAAAGCTCCTAGAATCATTTTATCCTCGTTTAACTTTCGATGAAAAACAAGGATAAAATGATCCTAAGAGCGTTGCGGGCGTTAAGTGGAACGCACCCTAAGGCATGTGGCTGGAATATGAAAAATCCCGTGTTCGAGATTTGCTTCTCATTTTAACGTGTCAAATGTAGACGAATTATTTCTATATAAAAGATAATTAAAATTTTCACACCAACAATCTATGATATATGCTCCATATGCCATATTATATTTTATTCCATTTTTAATCATTTATTTTAAACTACTGCATTATTAGCAAAAGTTACTGTACTATGGAGATGAGTGGAGGAGACGGTAACATATATTATAAATGCAGTCAGATTTATTGTACTCTTGTTAAAATATTGTAAAAATAATGTATTATTAGTAATTATAATAGTATTTATTAGTAATTATAATAGTATTATTAATAGTGGTCTTCCGCACCACCTTCGAGGTTCCACTAACGGCGCGTTAGGTTTTTTTAGTGGACCTTTC